CCATGAGGGCTCCAAAGCATGAGAAAGTTGAAAGTGAAGGAGACAAGCCAGGAACTTAACCAGTTTACCACAGTGACAAGTCCTCCAGCAGTTCCTTTCAAATTTATTGGAAATATCTGGAAAAGTATATGTCTATGTTAATGGCAATTTTTAATTTTAGAATCAAGATTAAAAACAAAAATATGAAATGTGAACATTCTATATAGTTTTGATATTACCTCAGACATTATAACCCATGGGATTGCACCCATTCCAATCGAAAATGAACCAATGTAGACCTGGAAATTAGATTTCTTCATCAACTGAAAAGAAAACCGGACTAAACCAAAAGTTAAAACCAAAGTCGGGTTCATTAGTGCTTACCAAAACTCCACTAACTGCTAGGGCTGGAATTATATCAAGTGCTGAACCATGGGCCTGGTTTATCAACATCAAAAACAAAATCAAACCGGTTAACATAGTCCTAATTGTTTCCCAACACTATACTCTAAGCTTAATCTTTAAAAAAAATATAAAATGGACCTTTAAAAGAAATGAATTTCCGATGAGCAAACATCCAATCAACATTCCAACAGCTGAAGCCTGCAATATACCGATATGGTCAGACCGAAATCATCTAAACCGGTATAGTCTTCGGTTTATTTGAAATGGATGCAATTATAACCATACCAAAAGAAGTGGTCTTCTTCCAAGCCGATCAATTAGCAATGTTGCACCGAGTGCCGTAAGAATAACTTGTTCGATCGAGTATAGAATGCTTCCAAGAGTTGGTGATGCTCCTGGTACACCAAAACCGGAACGGAAAACCAATGAATGGTTTAGAAATAGATATTCAACATTAGCTAAGTCCGGTCCGACTTACTAACCTGCTGATACGAAAATTTGTTGTGCGTAGAAAATAACTCCATTTATTCCAACGAATTGTTGGAAAAACATTAAACCAACTCCGACCTGATACAATACAACAGTAAGATTAAACCAAATCGAACCAGGAAGCATAGGTTTTTATCGCTTATTGGAATTTTGAGATTCTTACAATCACAAATCGGATATTCTTTTTGTCAATAAGGTCCCGTGGTGTGGATTTCGGGAGGTGAGCTATAGTCGCTAAGTACTCCTGTAAACCGGAACCCAAGAACCAGAGTCATACAAAATTAGAAAAATGCAATGTCACGTACCGGAACCGGTTTTCTAATTAGAGTTTTTGTTTTGTTTTAATAAAATGTACTTTAATTTCCTCTGCTTCCCTTGCGATATTGGCGTGAGGACCCCTCAGTTTTTGCAACGCAATTTCGAAGTCGCGGTGGCGGCCAACCATTTCCTTTAAAACGCCAAACGCATTAATTCGAGTTGCATCGGTTAGTTTCAAGTTTCGACCAACCGAAAGCAACCCGAAATTGATTTTCGAATTTTGATCTTACCAGCCATCTAGGAGATTCGGGGATGAACCAAGTCCCACAAAATAGAACCACACACGGTGCAACTCCTGAAATTGGTTAAAAACCTGATTTTTTATAACCAAATGGAATTTAATACCATCTTTTTGGTACAATGACTAAACCAAAAATCAAATGTTCTGGTTTAGCTAGTGCACAAACAAATTTACCGGTTAGTGCAAGTGTTCTCCAGTTTACGACGGCGCCTATGAGGAACATCGAAGCCAATCCAATTACGATAAAGAGCTGCGAAATTATAACAATATGATCAAAATAAAAATATATTACAGACTAAACCTTTTTTTATTTTTCTAAACGCAAAGCAACCCTAATACGTGCTATTTTGATCAGAATTGATACCTAAATTTTTACATGTTGGAAAATAACTCGTTACATCATCACATTTGAAAGTTCTGACTCTATTTCTAACCGCATACATTTGTTATTCGAAACTAAATAAAATGAATCACCTGGTTAAGTGTTGCTAATGCTCCTCGTAGTTTTTTGGGACTAATTTCGGCGATGAAAACCGGAACCTACACAAATCCAAATGTTGATTTATCATGTTTCCATCGGAATAATGGTCTTATTTATAACAATTTGTGAAAATGTTATACCACAAAGGAGAGGGTACCGCAACCATAACCAGTGAGAAATCTTCCAAAATCCAAAGGTATGTCACCCTAAAAATAAAAAATAAAAATAACGATCTTGAATACTTAAATTTCATATTATGTAATACGTAAATTCCAAAAATAATGAAATTAGCACAGAAAACCTTGGCGAAGTATATAATCAGCCAGCCAATGGCAGAGATCACTGAAGCCAACCTCATGGCCTGTCTCAGAAATCATGTGACCAAATAAAG